CAAACGTCATTTTTGATATAGAATTAATCATAGAATTTGTATTTGCTATACTCTTTCTTCGAAAATGTTGCTCCGAATATATTACTCCGCCCTAATGTACATACCTTAGACTGCCTCACGTTTCATCAAAAAAAAAAAATCGGTGCTCTATCCCCAAGCGAATTAGAAAATATAACTTTCACCAATTCCGCGTTGTTTGTGAGCGGCATAACTTGGAAAATACTGAAAATAAACAATTGGGTAATTATTATTGCGAATCTCCTGCAGAGAAACAGACTTTTCCGGTCGAAATCTATTGATTTTTAAGAATTCTATGACATTTTTACGAAAAGTTAATTGTTTCCCATATTAAATAGATGGAAAACTTTGAGCGCTTTGAGCGACCTCTAAATATTTTTTGGTTTCAAAATAATAGAGGGTACATTTTTTTCGGCATAGAAGAATCCTAGGGGTGAAAGCATTCAAATTCCGACTTTACTTTTTCACATGCATTCTTGGACCACCCGCGGTGCTGCTCATGAATAATCGATCTGACCCGAAATGCTCTGATAGGAACCATAAAAAATACCAAATTTTGTGACTCCCTTGGGAAAGCGGCAATGTTTTTTCATGAGGCACTCTAATATAAATATCGCTTATTTACAACTCAAAAAACGACGGCACTTACAATCAAATTACAACAAAATATGGCTTCAGATTTGATGGAAGATATATGTTGTCGTTCAGGCAAGCGTTCTAAAATCATAAGTTTACTGACCAATTCTAATGCATTTAGCGAAGAAAAACTATTTTTAAAGCATTTCCAATTCTGCTGTTTCACTATATTTTACACAAATTTATGTAGGTCGGCATCTGTTTAACTCATCATCTCCGACATCAATTCATTAACAGCTTCATTATCACTTTTTATCCCGCTTGTATGTTTATGTATGCACATATGTATGTATGTACGTACATATGTCTAACCATATACATTTGCCTCTTTTTAGCTTTATAAATTTAGTACAGTGTTTTTCAATAATTTTAACCATTCCACATACAATTGGTTCCCTCAAAACATAAATATGTTTCAGTGATGAGCTTTTGATTCCGCCAAGCCATTTCTTCAGGTTTGGAAACAGAAAATATTCGAATGGGGCCAAATTGCGAGAATATTTGTCGCTTTCAGCTCCATACAAATTTTGATTTAAAACTTTAAATTTTAAAATTTAATTTTGATCCGGATCTGTAATTTTTATGGTAAGTTGTTTTTTTTTTCTTAATATATTTAGATGACGTATATTGCTTTGATACCGGTATCATTTTGCCACAATTAACTAAATTTTAGTGCAAGTGATTAAATAGTTTTGAGGAAACTGATTTTCAATGCCTGCTCAAGATTTTCTTCGTGTCGTACTTTTAGTTTAAACAAAATTCATTGGTATTTGTTTACGTATGTTATTGCCGTCATTTCGATTACGTGATGCCTCATATATGTTTACATTACTTTTACAGACATGCATATGTATATTTTTCACATTTGCATTAGGGTGTTTCACCAAAAAGTTTTGTGGTTTTTCCACCGGATTAGGAAAAATTTTATATTTTAAGACTACCGCCAAAGTGTTTCGGAAAAATATTAAGATCTACGTGCGCTAGACTGATTTGAAGATACCTCCAAAAATCTCAAAATGTACTTTGATGCCGTTGATAAAATTTTTAAACATTTTTATGCAGATCTTTTAGACTTAAAATCTTCTATAATCCAACGGGATTTTTTTTTTAAACATATTTTTAAAAACTAATTTTATTTATAAAATCTCGTGGTATTTTCAAACGGATCTAGCTCACATAAATCTTAGTATTTTCCGGAATATTTTGGCGGTGGTCTTAAAATATAATAAATGTTATAATTCCGATGAGTAGACAGTACCATTTGTTTTTTTCTTTTTTTTTTTTGTATGGAGAATGATGCATCCTAATGTACCCTCATAAAATTTAATATAAACATGTGTATGAATAATTTGTTTATCGCCCTAACATTCCAGACAGTTGCTCCAGAAATCTTTGCCCCCCCATTAGAAATATTCCATTCGTTTTTCGAAATGTTTGCAATGTTTACTCGCATATTCACATAAATCTTTTTTTACGAGTATTCCTGTACAATTGGAAACTTAATGTGGAAATTCTAAGTATTTCATTCATTGTGGAATGCAATTCAGATTATTTTTATATTATTTGCTGAGGATTAATGGAAAAAAATCTTTACAAAACACACACAAACATGTTTTAAACGCGGATAGCCTTGAACATTTTCGGAATAACCCGCAGTCTTTTAGGGTCTAGAGCTTTATTAGACCATCACGACGAGGCCAGCGGAGTGCATATGAGTATTGATTTTTCGCACAGTTAATATATCCATTGACGAATATTGCTGAACTTTTTAAAGTTTCTATATTCGTTTTTTAATTTTTACATTTCAATATGTTGCGAATATTTGCAATTAATTGCTGTGCATACCAAAATGCAGTCACTTGTCTTACTTTTCTTCTGCACAGACGTTATTGATTTTTCCAGCCCAGTTGCAGGATGCTGGATTCGAAATTTTCTTGTCAACGCAATGAATATTTAGCACAACACCTTTTTTTAGCGACTTTGCCTGCTAATTTTTACACCTCAACACCTTATTTGCGTGAATCTTACGAGCTTATGCACTAATTAAACTTTCACATTTACTTTAATTAAACACCAAAATGATTGCTTAGATTTTAATAAGTTTATGTATTTACAATACGGCCGAAATTGCAGCCAGCAAAGAATACAATCAAATGCAGCGAGAAACTTTAATTGTCGTGTCTGTCCATCGTGGCATACGAACACTAAACGCCCACCCTGAAAACACTCGCAGAAAAGCATAATTCACAACCCCTCACGTAAACCAAGTTTCCAATAAGAATATATGTAAGCTTAAGGGTGACTGGGCGCACGCACAGTGGGAACGAAGCAAAATAAATCAGATTAAATATTTTATTAGTGAGTAATTGCATCGAGTTTATCAATATACAAAATAAGTTGATACTATTTTTGCTCGACTTCTCGTCTTCCAGAAACAAGGTTACCTTTAGAGGCCTTAATGATGTTTGACAATCGAAGCTTCCTCTTCTCAAAATCGTATATATAAGAGGGATAAAATCAAATGGCCTTATTCATAAAAAATAAAATAGATTTATAAAAGGTCTATAAATTGAAAAATTTGTATGAAAATGTGACTTTATAGAGCTCTTTAAACCTATTTTATTTTTTATAAATAAGGCCATAGATTTTTTTAAAAGACTCCAAACATTGTTTAACACTTTCTTGGAAATTTAAATAGTATCCTTCAGTTCTAAAGTTTATTTATTGTACGTAACCGCCTTTTGTGCGCGATTCCCCACTGTGGCATGCAAAATTAGCGAACGAGAAGTGAGAGCAAATTACCGAAGAATATTCTTGAAAAATACCCTCGCAAACTACCCTCTCTTGATTACTTTTGTGCGCAGAGGAGCACAACCACATATCTACATAGCAGTGCTGCCAAAGCTCACCAAAGTTTCGCGGAAGCACGCATGCCCAAACAAAAGGGGGTGCATTCGGCGATCGTGGGCCCGGCAACTGCACGCCTTTGAGTGAAGCATAAACAGCTGCAAAACCAGCAACAGCACGGACCCTTTTAGGCAGTAAATATGCAGGCAGGCAGGCGTTTTACCGCACAGCTATGAGAGGCATTTTAGTAGACATAGGGGCGTATGTATAGTATATACTTACATATGTGCATATATTGATTATTCACCAAAGTCTTAAGGGCTAAAAGCTGCCGCAGTCGTGACATAGTAAACTGCTTCGCTCCAAGCAGGTATCACCAGGGTTCGTTCCATAAATAAGTGTTGGCGCATAGAACCAGTTTATAAGGCATAACATCAATATATATATTTTGAACCAGCCGGCAACGAAAAATTTACTCCATATTAAACTCATGCCATAACGATTACTAAATTTAGTCCTACAGACGCTGTTAAAGTTGTGAAAAAGTCCTCCACCAACTATGAAGGTGCTAAGTGCTTGCAACTCGCTTTCATTCAAAGAGAAAAAATTAACCAAACAATAAATGTATTGAATTGTTTGCACACCTTCAGCTTTGGTATGGTACATACAAATGTACATACACAAAAAAAATACGTATATGCAAAAGTCTACAGGGCACACCCACACAACAACACACAGCGGCCTCGTGCCGGCTTCATTAGCGCATTTTCGCCCATCGCTTCCTAGTTAGCAGCTGCTCTGGCGTTAGTATATAGATAACTAGTACATACTAGCAAAATACATATCGCTCGCCATGCCTCAAATTTGCCAATTGTTGCAACTACTGCACCGAACTTCAACTGAAAACCACGACCCCAACTGCCTTAGCATACATTACAGTAGAAAATCAATGGCGACAATATTCATGATTTATGTATGAACCGCAGTGCAGCAGACTCACCCACCCATCCCATCTATGCAACAGAAAACCTGCCCGGCAGCTGAATATTCGGCACGAACTCAGTCAACAATCGCAATGCAAATGTAAAGAGCAGATAGTCGACCAGTATGTATCCGTCAAATCGGTAGAAATGAAAATCAGAGAGATGATGCCCGTTGGGCCGGTGTTGTTTGTTTGTAAACAAGACACTTTCAAAACAATCACAAACAGTGCTGCCAAATAAACAAAAAGGGTGTGAATTCCTTTTTTTTTTATAGATATGCCATAGTGGATTTCCGACTAAAGTATTTATTGTAGCGAGTGCTGCGCATAAGGATGGCAAAAAAATAAAATAATCGATTAATTAGTGATATGATTAATCACAAGCCACAAACAATTAATTGCAATTGTTGAGAAATAATCGATTAATCGAAGTTTTAAAGGCACTTTTTTACACTTCTCTAAAAAACAATTTCTAACCCTCTTCTTAATTAGCGGGTATTTTTAGCTGCGATAATTATTTATTATTTAACCAAGTTTGCAAAAATTTTGATTTGCGTTTTGTTGTTAACCGTTTGCGTTTGCTTTTGAAAAAACAGGTACCGAGATGCCAACTAAATGACTAAAAAATTTACATAAATTAAAACTCATTTCATCTTGTGGGTGAGCCAAATCATTATCTTGTCGCCTTCGTTCGTGTAAAAGAGATTTATGAGGAGCCCAAAGAGCCAACTCATTTTTTACTGATTCTAGTGACGACACGCTACCCGTTTCCATAAGATCATCTGCGCCCATTATTAAAGTTCGCAAGAACTTCATTACTGAGGCCAATGCTAACGAATCTTTGCATTGAATTTTTTTGAACCTCAGTTCAGGTAAAGTTGACGCAGCTAGCAAAAAAGAATGTTCGATGGATGGACATCTACAGAATTCATATTTCTTGAAAATATTTTTACGATTTTTTACAATTACTCGATTAATGAAACACGAAAATTACGATACAATTAAATCGCAAATTGAACAACAATAATCGATTAATTTAATCAAATTATTAATCGGTGCAATCCGTGGTTAAAATTTCAATGACTATCCTCGACGTAGAAAGTAAGTAGTAACTTGTTTCCGCTTTTTTATCCTTGAAAAGCTGACATGATATATATGACCACTAAGTGATCTAATCAATCTGAAAAGACAAACTGCTATTTGAACCCCTCCAGGATACACTTCTCCAAAGAAGTTAAATATCTAGAAGTAATACTTGATGACAAGCTCTCATGGATTCGGCACCTAGATAAACCTATTCAAAAGGTCAGGTTCTCTCTCTGGAGCTGCCTAAAACTAATGTAATGGAAATGGGGCATCAGACCTAACCTGTCAAGGTATGATGACATCTCTAAAACTATTCTAACTGGTGCTGCACCCGTCTAGTAGAAGAAGGCAGAAGTGAAGTCCACGCAGGCCAAGCTCAGAAAGCTACCACGACTAGCCTACGTGGGCATCACTGACGCGATAAGAACAACACTAACCGCGGCCCGAACTCAACGCGGGTCGAGGTGCGTCTTGGCCTGCCACCCAAAAACATTATAATCAATAAATAGGCTCTTCTGTTTACAGCAAGGTTTATTTCAGGGTACAATATAGAGGACAAAAAGCTTATACACTCTTCCACCCTCAGGTTTAGAGAACAAGAAGTTGTGCTGCTCATTAGCCTTGTGGACCTGTACCTTCGGAAATTTTACTTCACACAAAATTTCAAGGTCTCTTTCCCCGACAGGAACAACTGCTTCTAAGAACACTACAAATTCGACAATTTGCCAACTTAGGTATCATTCCAAACGACGCGCAAGGTATCGGCTAACATCCCTCTTCTTTGGTTCGACCACGACGTAACAGTACGTTTCCAGGGTCTACCAACTGCAGCAACGTAAATTTGTCGATTTGACGAATTGAAAAAACCTCACGGGGCACTATGAGGTATTTTGCATTTAGACTTACATTACTTCCACCCCTGCTCGAAAGGGCTGTCATACAAAATTCATTTTAAATAACGTTTATTTAAGTTTACTCTCAAAAATATCTAAAAAAAAGTTAAAGTTATTTCCTTCAACGAAAATTCATTCACGTTGAGTATGTACAATTTCAGATCTCCATTCATGCTGGGCAAAGTTAATGCAACAAAACTTAAATATGTACATAGCTAAATAACCAATTCATTTCCATGGGTTTATACATATGTATTTGTAACCCGTCAAACTCATAATCCCAAATAGGCAATTTGACGGTGTAATAAGTTAATTAATACTCGCACATAAGACGTCAGATTTTGCAAAAACACATTTTTCAACCAGGTCGTTGCATGACAAAATTCCGTACGTACAACGCCTTTACCACCCATGCGCAGCCACTTGCCCATAACTAGCCACAACAACAATTAAATCATTGAAAAACTGCAACGACTACCGCAAGTACAAACATATACATATACATATGTGCGGATATACTTATGTAAATGCATCCATACATACATATGTATCTATATCCCAACGTTTGTATCTGATCGTAAATCAATACATCGGCATGACAAATTTAAATGATTTTATGGATTTGTGAAAAGCGTCCTGTCTGCGAAGCATGTTAGCAACTTTCTTCATCAGTCGTCGCTAATGGCCATAGTATGTAGCTGTCGGAGGCGGGAAGTGACACGGCCATGACAATTGTTGCGGTGGAAAACTTTTAATTAAACTAACTACACAACTGCAATGTTGCAAAGGCTGTCGAACGCGCTGTTGGGGAGGACGGTCACCATGATCGATGGCAGGGAGCAGCTAAAGCTTGGGTTTCGCTGTTGGTTTGCCATTTTGGGTTTCGCTACAAAACAAACTGCCAGAAAATAGTGACAGAGTATTGAAAATTATAGATTGTAATCGCTTCGAAAGCTTAAAGTTGTTGACGCACTTATAGTAGCAGATCCGACAAAGGCATGACCTTCAGCCATCTGTTTATTGGATGAAATTTACATTGTATGAAATTTAACGCGTTAGCAAATATTTCGCGTGTGGTAGGGAATAGAGATGAACACGTGACAAAAATTGCAATCCCGACCCCGCCCATTCCGCATTTATCGCCATTTTGATGTACTTTCGTGGGAATGATAAATATCTATATATGTACGTACATATGTATGTATATCTAGACTTCTTGGTCAAACCATCTTGATTCCATGTGAAATTTGCCGATATCGCCTATAAATAGTAGATCCGGATATATCTGCTAGTTTTGTTTGTATATCTCTTCCAAATGCTAAAAGCCGCTCGACCTTGGCATTTACAAAGGACATACTGGACACTTTATTCGGTACCTTCTATTCGAGAACTGCCGCAAGATCTATCACATATATCTATTAAGCGGGTCTAGTGTCTTCGTCCTGTTTCAGTTAGGCCAGAGATCCTGGGCTAACTTGCAGGTCTGTATATCTGACCACCTTTTCCTTGCCAGTCATCCGCCATTTCATTGCCTTCAATGTTAATATGGCCGGAAACCGACATGTGACGCAGACACTCAGTATAATTCCGTTTTGCACTTCTGGACGAGCTGGGGTTTCGGGGACCGAAGATGCTAATGCTAACAAATAGTATTTTGCTGCTTTCCTAATTCTACCGATGCCTTTTCCTAGAACCCTACAAGCTTCAAAGATGTCCAAGACTGCTACTTGGAAGATGCTTGCATCATTCCCTTGACGGGGAGACAAGAAGACGCCCAGTTCCTCTGAGTATACTTCTCCCTCCGCCCCGCAGCCCATATTTGAGCCGCCGGTGTAGAGAGAGATCATCTCTTCATCGTCCACTTCGCCTTTCGTCCACTCTCTACTGTATGGGAATCTCATTTGTATGTTATTGAAGCTGAGGTTCGCTGAGTCTGACTGCGGGTTTGATGGGCAATTTTTTCAGATGAAGATCTATAATGATTAAGTGTAAAATTGTATTTAACGATTTTGTCGGGCAGGACCTTAGTGTATCCTTTATTCCTGGCCCCACTGCTTGTTGTAAGCTACCCAGTGTGGTTATATTATAATTGAGGCTAGGGGGACACAGTGGGTCACCGATGGTACCTATGTTGACCATATTTTGAGCGCCCAATGGAGTCCTACCAGGGCTTATAATTTTCTCCATATATTCTAAGCCAGCGCCCTTTCTAGCCTTTTCTAGGATGCACGTTGACCACATGAATTGTTGAACCTGTCAGTCCTAGTAGCCATACTTGGCCCTATAATGGGCGGGTATACAATTAGAGGCTCTGGAGGCCCGCAGTTCACCTATTTGCTAGTAACTTCGTTAACTGGAAAATCCCAGTGACCTGGTACCCACATGTGTTTAAGCTTTTTATGACACAAAGGACTTTAGTACATCTTTATTTTCGCCGGAAGTTTAATTATTCAGACCGCTACACACGATAAAAAAAAATTTAGTTATAAACCTGATGGTTAAACTGGAAATCCCCTAAAATTTTTCTTGTTTGATAGACTCCTCCAAATCGAGAGCCAAGATAGCTCCATTTTTCTTTAGCGGAAAATTGAAAACGCCGATTTCATCAGTCCACGCTAGTAATTCCCGGTTGTTCACTCTTCTTTTGCTCTCTCTCTCTGTCTGATTGAAATACGGGTATTCCCGCGACAACCATCACGACCACAATT